CGCCGCCGCCCGGGTCCCGCCGCTGGGGCCCGAGCGCGAGCCGCATCCCCGACCAGGCCTGCAGTCCAGGCCCGCCCGCCCCGGCCCCTCACGCACTCACTCTCGGGCCGTCCGGCGCGCACTCTCCGCGCTGTCGCTGCGCTTCACGCGCTGCAACTTTATTAGCAGCTGGGCCGCGGAACGAGCGCAGGACCTTCGCCTGCCCAGGACCCGGATGATGGAAGGAGGGAGGGAGCGGGCGAGCGAGCCGCTGCAGTCCGCGCATGCGTGCAGGGCGGGGGACCGCGGACCAGCTACCAGGACAGACCTAGCCTAGGAACCCCGTGAAGGATCAGCCCTGCAGCTGCCGTCGGGGGCCGGGGCTGAGAGTGGCAGTAGGCTCTAAGCACCTCCACTAACCCAACTAGCCCATCTCATAGTAAAAGAATTGTCCTTACTATGGAGAGTTGGGTATTTTTCTATCCTATAGGAAACGAATTTTAAAAATCTTCAGCTACAACTTCGCTCTTTTTACTGACTTGTATTATAAATCCAAACGGAAAGAGCCCTCTTTCTGTGCAAAAGTAGCTTCAAAACAAGTTTCTGGACCTCTTACAGCTTATTAGATGCAGTCATGAAATCGCTCCCGAAGGAAAACGATCTTGGAGGCAGTGCGGGGCTCGGCGTTCAGCAGGACTGTGTATCTCTTGGGCACAAGCTCAGTTGTTTAAGGTCCACACCACACACACAACTGGAAGGAGGGGAAGATTTGGGCATTCAACCTTCTTCAAGAGGAGGCGGCGAAGTGCAGAGACCAGCCACCGCAATTTGTAGGAACTGGGGCTGCCTGGCTTTCTTTGTCCCTCTAAATCCCCAAAGAGCTCCATTTTCAGTTATGATATCAATACCAATTTTGTGTTTATTTTAAATGTTCACATTTGATTCCACTCTTTTCTTTTTAAATTAACTGGAATCTACTTTTAAACCTTTTCCAATTAATCTCATCCTCCAATACCATTAAGTTTAAAATTCTGTATATCCTAAACCACCTCTGCAGCCTAAGCCAGGGCCACGGCATTGGACACCCAAATGCGAGAGCTTCAATTTTGTTCTCAGCTCCAGCAGCTTGTTTCCAGGGAGAGATTAAATAAATGTTCTAATTTTGCTTCATGGAAAGAGCCATCTCAAAAGGTGATAGAGGCCTGGTGAGGGAGTGAAGTGGGTTAGAGTGAGGAACTGGAGAGCTGGCTACTCCAACCACCAAAGGGGGCCACAGTTGTTGACTCTATGGACTATCTGCAGGGAGACACATAGACTTAAGGGTTCCGCATTGGCAGATCTGATTTTCAAATAAGGCTGGAAATTTGTCTTTTCATACAAAAAAGATATTTCACATGTATCTGTTCATCAGCAGCCTTTTTCTGTCTCTCTCCTAGGTTCCCTGCACCTCTCCTCTTCCTTCTTCTTTTAGATATTAAGGAGACTAACCCTGCACAAGCCAAACAAAACAAGCCCACAGTCCCACTTCAGCCTGCTGACCATCAGTGTGCAATCTCAGGTCTACACCTTAAGCTTCTTTACTGCATCATAAACTTTGTGAACATGGAGTCTGAGAGCGGTTAACTCTGTCAGACTCACTGGTTGTTTGTTGTTAATTCAAATGTTTCCAGCCCTAGAAAGGATGTGTTTCTGGAGCCTGCATGGATTTACAACTACCAGAAGTACCTATCTACCTGGGAGGATGCCTTTTTCAGAATTGATGTTTGCACAGTACTTTGCTGAGTATGATCGGACATAAGAGTTTGGTTTAAATATTTTGTGCACCAAAGCCACTCTTCACTTCAAACAACTAGTAATATCTTTCCACAAACAAATTGTTTGCATGGTTGTAACGATGATTTATGATTACAGGATTCCTCTTCACAATCACATTTATATTCCTAAAACCAGCCATTTTACTCCCTCAACTGGTATATCTGCATATTGATCAAATAGAGATTTCTAGTCTCTCAGAGTGGCTTTGTAGGTTCAGCTTAGGTCTTTAGTTGCAGAGAAAATAACACAGAAAGGAGAGAAGGAGGCTTTAGCAGCCAGCAGAACCCTTCCAAAGGACTGAGAAATTGCCAGAACTCAAAAGATGTAGAAACCAGAGGGCTCACCAACTATCTCCAAGTCAAGAAGATTATAAAACAGCCAGTGATCAGGCTTGCCAGAGCCATAAACAATGAAATAAAGAAGTTTGGCAAGTGACTGGATCTAACAATATAGAGCAGGGTGCTCTGAACAGACAGTGGGGCACCAAGATTTTTTTAAAACTGCATTTTTGAGTCGAGACATTCACCTGATGAAGATCAGAGAATACTAGTGTTTTAGTTTGTTTCTCCATTGCTCTGACAAAATATTCTGACCAATACCAACTTGGGGAGGAAAGGGTTTATTCAGCTTACATCTCTGGGGTCACAATTCATGAGGGAGCCCAAGGTAGGAACTCAGGGCAGGAACCTGGAGGCCGGCGCTGGAGCACAGGCCACAGAGAAACGCTGCTTACTGGCTTGCTCCCCTGGCCCATGCTCAGCCTGCTTTCTTATACAACAGGACTACCTGCCCAGGGGTGGCACCACCCATAGTGGGCTGAACCCTCCCACATCACTCAACAGCCAAGAAAATGCCCCCACAGACATGGCCACAGACCAGTCCACTGGAGGAAATTCCCCAATTGAGGCTCCCTCTACCCAAGTGGGTCAAGCTGACAACTAAAGCTGTCCAGCACAGCTAGATTCAATGCTTGGTTTTTCTTTACCTGTGGATTATTTTGTTGATTCACTCCTGGTTGACAGTTATCAACCAGGAACGAATGCACCCCAGGAAACATTTGGAAGTTTGAAGACTTTCTTGGTTGTCCTAAGCAGGAGGGCAGTGGGCAGCTAGCGGGTAGAGGCCAGAAACCTCCTGAATGCACATAACAGCCTCCTGCTGAGAAGACCCAGCCTCAGCCTCAACAGTGTGGAGTTAGAAACCTTGAACCCCAAGCACTTTTTCTTTCATTAGATTCATGTTTAGAGAAGAATTGGGCCTTTTCTTTTCAACTGTTTCAATAACCAATTAAATTATTCACTTGGTAAATAGCCTAAATGTTTAGCCATGTCCAATCCCTACCTTCAGTTTTCCAGATCCAAGAAGTAAGCTATTTTCAGAAAGTGGGAAAAAACATGGACCATATTTTTAAGTGTAAACTAGTTGAGGTAAGTTGGTTTGAGTTGATTGTCCCAATTCCATATTTTGCTGTATCTCAGAATATGCTCCCTAAACAACTCCTGAACACCTATTCAAACTCTTAAGAATGCAAATCTATTTGACAGTGTCACCCAACACAAGGAATCAGTGAGTGACATTATCACAGGCATCCACATCTTGGAAGCACTTCAGAGGCATCTTTCTTTCCCAGACAGTCATGGGAAAGGAAGAAAATGTCCAGGTTACAGGAATTCTCCAGCAGAGTACTTAGATAGAATAAGACCTCCATTCCAAACTCTGAGAATTCTCTGTATGTTTTTTTCCCCTGGCAGACCACCCCCAGCCCCTATCCTAATTACTGGAAACCGTCTAGGAACCACAGCTAAATCAAGCAGAATTCCAATTCTGAGCTTCCAAAGACATAACAAAGACACTCTCCACAGGCTGGAGAGAGGGGGAAGAAATTCTCATTACAATTGATCAGAAGAAGCTTCTTTTAAGAGAATGAACCAGGATTGAAGAGATGGCTCAGTGGTTAAGAGAGCATACTACTCTTACGCAGGACTGGAATTCTGTTCCCAGTACCTTTATCAGATAGCACACAAGTGCCTATAACACCAGCTTCAGGGATTCCAATGCCCTCTTCTGGACTTTGCAGACAATTGCACTTATGTACACATACCCCAAGGCAGATATACACATGCATACACATAATTAAAAATAAAAAGAAATCTTTAAAAAAGAGAAAATAAACCAAAGTTCCATGCCAACTAAAGATTACAATAAAATTATTTATATGGAATATTTGATAGGATGTCCCAGTACAATGCTGGTGTTCTGGTATGACATACTTTCTTAATAAGCCACAGATAAAAAGCCAGGTGTGGTAGCACATGTCTGTAATTCCAGCACTGGGTTGGCTGAGATGGGAGGACAGTGAGTTCAAGACCAGCCAGGGCTACATAGTGAGATTCTGTTTCAAAACTAAAAGGAAACACAGATAAATCTCTTTATTTTCATAACTCAGCAGCCAAAATGATAATACACTTAAAAAAGAAAAGTGAGAGAATGACAGCTGTCTCCACTCAAAGCCCGGGAAACTGTCACCACAGACTCTTTGAAGTTTCAGGAATGATAGCAGAGAATCCATGAGCCCCTGGAGTTACTTTGCACATCTTTCATGCATAATGTATACTTATGTGCAAATTTTCTGTAGAAAAAGACCACGGTATCTACCCTAGTCTCAAAAAGCTTCTTGACCTCCACTTATTTATTTATGCTCAGGACAGTGGTCGCTTTACACCTGGTACATAACAAGTACGGCTATGTTTTCTTCTCTTTCAGATCAGCATAATTAGGAGACTCCTCTCTGGGGAAGGCAGTTTAATGCAGAGTATAGGAATCTGACCTGCCTGTGTCCAGCCATCTGTTACATTAAAGAAGGCCACCTATGGCTGGAATCCAAAACACAAAATTAAAAGGGTTGCTTGCACCCAGAGTCATAAAACAAAGAGGCTTTCTAAAGCAGGGCTGAGAGTGAACATTCGTTTCCTCATGATTTAAAGAGCATCTGTTTCTCCTGACAGTGAACACCCCCAAGTTAACTCTACTAACTTCCACGGTTCTGCTTTCTCAATTTATATCCTCAGAGACCTAGTCTCAGAGGAGTCAAACCACATGTGTACCTCACCACAAATCCAGAACAGCAGGTGAAAATCTGGGAGTGTTATGGCATTAAGGAGAGGGTAAAGAGACGAAAGTTTTCTGTTCTCTAGGAAGCCCTTTAACTGCATGAAATCTTAATCACAAGAACTCTGAAGCCAGAGTTCTTGGTTTGAAACATGGATCATCTAATGTACTTCCTGTGTAACCAAATTTCCTAAACAATCCATACTTTCATCTCCCCATCTATAAAATGGAGATAACAGTAGCATCAATAGAATTATCCCAGTAAGGAAGCTGGAGAGATGACTCAACAATTAAGAGCACTGGCTGGTCTTGCAGAAGACCCGGATTTGAAT